TCGGCAAGCACATATATGTTACAGATTCAAGCAACGATCTAAATCTAAATACACGTGAAAAGAAGAAGGGGAAAAGTAGAAATGTCTCTCTCCTGTGGAAGAGCATAAAAGCTTCGCTTCTTTTTCTTTCTCTCGATATCAAGAACCTTCGATGTCGTTCTCCCGTTCTCTTTTCTTCTGCCTCTCCTCTCTCGTTCCGTCACTTTCTCTCGCTCGTTCTCTCGTTTCCTCGCTTCCTCTAATATCGTAGTTAAAAGTCAACGATTAGTTACCAGAACACAAGGCACTTGGCTTTACACATCATACATATTTTTATTCTTTTTTTTTTCTCCACGTTTTCTTCTTTTTTCTTGTTAAATCTCTTTCGTCTAGTCGCTTGCTTTTGGTATAGCTCGGTGTTGGGATAGCTCGCGCAAGACGCTCCGCGCACGCGACAGGTGCGGATTATCGCATCGGTTACAATCGAGAGGAAGCTGGCTCGATTCGCTACCACTTAGTTATTTATTACTACTTTATTACAAACTGCCTCGAACTTGAAAATATTGATATTTTTAACAGCAATGGCGAAATGTGTTTCGTTTGTATCATAAGAACTGAGTTTCACGAGATATTACTTAATTAGCCAATGAATTAATGAAATAGCTCAAAAAAATAGCTGAAGTTTTTAGCAATTGCATACGAATTTGAGTTAAAAGTAAATTCAGACAAGAATGATGAAAAATTAAATTTGTAGAATCGAAGAAAACAGATTTAATTTAACCGAAGCAAGTGAAAGGCAGAATGGAACATGTTGGAGTAAATTTAAAAGAATTGACACAAAGAATGCAAACGAAGGTAATACGATCGCTGCTTCTTCCGTAGGAATTTTTATATTTCTCTTCCTTAGGAATACGTATCTTTAGTTTGCTACACGAAAGGACGATATTCATACCAATTTTACAACTGGGAACGGCGGTAGTAAGTGGTAACATCAAACAAGATTTTACACCATATGAGAAATCCTATCATCTACGATACACCATATAACATTTTATTTCCCTCGTACGAAAGTTTCTCGAATAGATGCACGAATAACAATTAGCTACGTTCATCTCTCCGCAAGCGTGAGACTACATTCAAACGAAATTTCCATTTAACTCTACGGTCACATCGATTCGTCTATCAACCGCTAAATTAGCAACAGCGACGTTAATATTGACTAAAACAGTTCGTTTCGCGTCTCGTCGCCGGTCGCGGAGCGTCTCGCGACGTAATGATGGAAATAACACACGCAGCAATCATTCACAATATCAATAGAAGAAAATAGTCCATATGTATATATATATACATTTATATAATATATATCGTCGCACATATATATATATATATACTATGTATGCACTGCAGTAATAATATATATATATTTATTTCATATATCTACTACTCGTCATTCATATCCATTTATAAACGGTTAGGTTATACATTACATCTGTGGTATTAAAACATTTTCTCTCTCTCTTTCACGCTCATTTTCTGTCTTTAATTATTCCACGATTACGCTCTCGTGCACTCGTGAGCCAGGGTTTTCGGTAAATTTCGCTTCGTAATAACATATACTTGGACAAACGTCCGGATCGATCGGTCGAGGAAATAGCGAGATCCGCGAACTTTGTCGCGCGAATTCGCGAATCATCGAATCATTGATTTTATCAAGAATCAGATGAAAGGTTGACTGACAGCTCGACGATTGTTCCGCGAATGATACGACGATCTTTCTCGCGCTAAAATATCGTTGCTTGAACGAAATCACTATTCGCGAGAAGTCGACTCACAACCTTGTATTTTCGCGTTGGCTCGAACGATGCTGTTGGGAGCGTTGCCCGCTGTGTTTGGAAAAAAAACTGAACAATCGAGGCAAGCGACGGCTTTTTCTAAAAAA